CAGTGTATCAGCCACTCCCCCCAGTTTGGTATCACCCACAACTTGCTGAGAGGCCACTCTGTCGCATCATCCTGGTCATTACATCAACCATTTCAAGAATCCGAGTTGATGTAACTGATGTAAAGGAAAGCAAGTCAAACACCCTTCCAGAGATATGCTAGAGATGTCAGATCTAGTGGTACAGAACTCCAGGAGCTGCAGTGATAAACCTCCTCTTCTCTAGATATAACAAATAAAAAGTAGCCCCAGGTTCCAGAACAAGCAGGCCCAGGGTCTTTTCTTGGGTGCAAATGCTGAAATGTGGAACTTCACTTACAGGGCGTAAGAGATCTTCTGGAAGGCAGAGATGACTGTTGAAACTTGAGAGCTAAGCATGCCAGAAATGATTTATAGACTCCTTCCCCAGAATCTTCCAGTCTGTGGCTTTGCTCAAAGACAGACGATACGTTTCCATGTCATAAACGTGGACAGAGTTGCACCAGTAGACCTGTGCCACTCCCAGGACAGACGTGCAGTCTGGTTATTTGCCTGCGTGACGGTACGCACAGGGTGGACTGTGCGCTAGTAGCCATTATACTTAAGGAGCAGAGGGCAGAATCTGGAACAGAACAAAGCCAAAGCAAAAAAGGACGGATGAAAAAAGAAGACTCTGTACATTATAAGTGTAAACCAGTTTCAAGAGAGTTTCTGTAACAGCAGCCTTTCCAGCCCACAGCTGTTTGTCATGGGCAGCTATGCTCTAGCACAGTAGTTTTGCAGGACGGACAGAGTAACATTGCTGCCAAAGGGCATGTAAAGGACAACGCTGCAAACCCGGTTCCCAAAATTCTCTCAGACGTATTATGCTACTCATAGGCTTACTATTACCAAAGGCGTTACAAGTTATACTACAGGCTAGTCTGGTCTTAAATCGAAGTTGGATTTGGTTCCGCATGCTAGAAATAGATCTGTGATAATACCAAGTACGTTGGAAAACCCTATAAAATGGCTTAGCAGAGTGTTTTCTGATATTGCACATGGAGTTTGTCTCTCCGGACTGTGCTTTATAACCATTATGGTTTTTGGAACAACATCCCCCAACAGCACGAGCTGCAGAAAACATTGGTAAAAAGGAAGCATTAGTTGTGAAAATGAACTAAGAGAGATGGAAAGACGTGAAAGCGAAGAAAGCCAGCCAGACCTCTGCATGTGGCAACAAAGTCACTGAATGTATGAAAAGTTAGAATGTACCCTCAGCAAGTTTGATGATGACACCAAACTGGGAGGTGTGGTAAATACACCAGAAGGCTGTGCTGCCATTCAGCGTGACCTGGATAGGCTGGAAAGTTGGGCAGAGAGGAACCTGGTGAGGTTCAACACGGGCAAATGCAGAGTCCTGCACCTGGGGAGGAACAACCCCATGCATCAGTACAGGCTTGGGGCGGACCTGGTGGAGTGCAGCTCTGTGGAGAGGGACCTGGGTGTCCTGGTGGACGACAGGTTAACCATGAGCCAGCAGTGTGCCCTGGCTGCCAAGAAGGCCAATGGGATCCTGGGATGCATTAGGAGGAGTGTGGCCAGCAGGTCGAGGGAGCTTCTCCTTCCCTTCTACACTGCCCTAGTGAGGCCTCATCTGGAGTACTGTGTGCAGTTCTGGGCTCCCCAGTTCAAGAAAGATGAGGAGCTACTGGAGAGAGTCCAGCGGAGGGCTACGAGGATGGTGAGGGGACTGGAGCATCTCTCCTACGAGGAGAGGCTGAGGGAGCTGGGCTTGTTCAGCCTGAAGAAGAGAAGGCTGCGAGGGGACCTTA